GGGAACAGACACAGATGAGAGGAGTCAGAAGAGGGCAGGGAGTTCACAGGCCCCTCCCCCCTTACCTTTTTCTTCCATCCACCTGCAGGTGCCCTCCGGGCAGCCCGGGGGGTTGGCTTCTTCTCAGGGGTGAAATCCTAGGGGTGGGGGGAAAACACACCAATTTACAAGGAAGTCCCTCCCCCTTGACCCCACAAAGGAAGAGGCGACATAAGCTTTGCATCTTTGCTAGCAACGGGAGCTTGCATATAAACTCTCCAAGAACGTGGCAAGAACGCGTTTCTAGAACTCCATTCTATTCTCGCACACTGTATACGCTGTCGACTGTCAGGTTATGGCTCTTGTCACCATTTGCCATTTTTTATTGCCCTGTTGCCCTTAAGAGCAAAGCGTTGGACCTCCCTCTGGTGTTTTGTCCCATTAGGCTGATGGGTCCGTTTAGTGAAACCGAGCAGGAGAAAGATGAAGCCAATTAGACGGACTCCGGCATAAGTCTTATCAGGCGAAGGCTCTCCTTCCTTCCCAGCTCTGCCACTGGCTGAAAGCCAGTGTAACCGCGGTCCCCACAGTTCAACAGGGGGGGGGGTTTGCATAATTCTGTGGTGCCGCTGGATGTTTTACGACTCCTAGGTGCTAGGGTCTCCAGGCCCTCCTTACCAAAGTGTTTTCGGAACAGCTATCGGTAGCCAATCAGGACACCAGAAGGGTCCAGACAGGATGAGACCAAAAGTCCATCTAGTCCAGCATCCTGTCCTGTTTCCTTCGACGGCCAACCCAACCCCGCCCTGGAATTCAATATTTAGGAGTCAGTCTCTGTAGATGCTCCTGCCAACCTAGCCGTTCGAAAGCAAGAAATTGCAAGTAGATAAATAGGTACCACTTCGGTGGGAAGGTCACAGCGTTCCGTGCGCCTTGGTGTTTAGTCATGCCGGCCACTTGACCACGGAAATGTCTTCGGACAGCGCTGGCTCTTCGGCTTTGAAATGGAGATGAGCACCGCAACCCTACAGTCGGATTCGACTGGCTTTCGAGCAAGGGAAACCTTTACCTTTACCTTTACCTCTGTAGGTGGGGATTTCCGTTAAACCTCAAGTGAGCTGTAGATAGGGTTGCCAGCTCAGGGTCTAGAAATGCCTGGAGGTTTTGGGGGTGGAGCCCGGAGAGGGCGGGGTTTGGGGAAAGGAGGGGTAGAATGCCGTAGAGTCTTCCTTCCAAAGCAGCCGTTCTCTCCAGGGGAAACGGATCTCTGTAACCTGGAGACCGGCTGTAATTCCAGGAGCTCTCCAGCCACTGCCTGGAGACCAGAGGCTCTGTCTGCAAACCATCAGTGTTGTCTGATCCCCTGAAAGAGCTACCAAAGGAAGAGGCACCAAATTCCATGAGATAACCCTGCAATAAAGTATGTGGTCACCCCAGCAACTTATTTATCACTCCTAGAAATTCCACCTAATCGCAGAGCTTTTCTTATGGCCAGATGCAATATTTTCCCATCAGCAGTAGTAGAAGAAGGCCGGTATAAAAAGGTATACAAAAACAAATATGGTCACAGTCCATAGACGTGCAAAAACAGAACCACAAGAACTGTACGCAGTGCGCTCAATATAATAATACATTCAAATGTGTAAGTTCAGATACATAAAGACAGAAGATGACAACGACTTCTATCTTTATGTATCTGAACTTACACATTTGAATGTATTATTATCACTTTTGTACCTTTCATATTTATAACGTTACGGTTTTCGTTAAAGAAATATTGAGCGCACTGTGTACAGTTCTTGCGGTATAAAAAGGTGCCAATGACAGAGGAGGAGGAGGAGATTGGATTTATTCACTACCCGAAGGAGTCTCAGAGCGGCTTACAAACTCCTTTCCCTTCCCCTCCCCACAACAGACAGCCTGTGGGGTAGGTGGGGCTGAGAGAGCTCTGACAGAAACTGCTCTTTTTCAAGAACAGCTGTGCCAGAACCATGGCTTGCCCAAGGTCATCCAGCAGGTGCGAGTGGAGGAGTGGGGGAATCAAACCCGGTTCTCCAAGATTAGAGTCCGCGCACTTAACCACAACACCAAACTGGCTCTCTCAGCGGATATGTCCTTGTGGTTCAGGAAAAGTAGAGACATATTATTGCATTGTGTGTACTATAAAGAAATTCGAGTAAAGTTTCTTCAACCTATATTAGGGAAGTTCCTTGGCTACCCAGATACGGAGATAAGCAAAAAAATTCTATTTGATTCCAATCCTCAGCTCTCTCTGATTTGTGCCAGGTTTCTGGCAATAGCTTATAGAATTCATAAGGATAAAGTAAAGAACTGAAGCAGACAAAATAGGAAGCACATTGGATGAATTTCGTTTTATTTATGTTATTTATAGGTAATTCTATGTAGTTTAACCAAAGGGTCTCAGGTAAGACTGATATGAGTGCAGCTTGGTTTATACGTGTTTTATGAATGAACCCTAGAGATTTTAAACTGTTTTAACTGAATTGTGCTGGTTAAGCACTGAATAAAAACTGACTGACTGATTGAAGAACTTCCTTTGATTGAAGAACTTCCTTTTATCTGTCCACTGTCTCTCCCCACAAATCCCACCAGCCAATCTCAAGTCCTGGGGTTTTGGGAAAGAGACAGCCTCTCTCTACCCACTGCCTCAAAACCAGACGTCATTTTGTTAAGTCCCCCTTCTAAGAGAAAACCCACTAACGGCCCCCTCTTTAAAAGCCAAAGCCACCATGTGGGTGTCTCCGACGGGTTGACTCACTTGGTCGCTGTACTTCTCCGACTCAGAAGAGCTTTCCGAATTCTCCTCCGACGGAGATGGGCTCGCCTGGTCAAGGTCACTCGAAGACTTCCGGGGCCGTTTCGCCGCCGGCATCTAAAGACAAGCAGAGATGCAACTTTCTCGGGCTGGAGAAGGATGAGGTCTTCTACCGCCCAACAGCCTTTTTGAACAATTGCCTAGATTGTTTTTACAGTGCCGTGGGTCCAGGGATGCTTGGGAGAAAGGCAGGTGTGTTGTTTTAAAATAAAGAAAGTAACCCAGTTGACTATATTGAGTAAAAACGATCTGCGGATCAAAGGGCTCCCAGCAATTGCGGCAGACCCCGTTTGTGAGGCTGGGATGAGCAACTCCTTCCCCAGTGCCCCATGAGGTTAAAATTGCCAGTGGAACCCCAACCCAGCACACAGAGCGTGCACTGCCCTCTTCTAAAACTCACTTTCATGGCTAATGGTTTCCGCTTCACGGCACTGCGGTCGCTCCCCTTCTCAGAATCATCATCGCTCTCCAGCTTCTCTGGGGCCCCTCCCTCAGCCTCGACTGCCACCGCTGGCTCCTCCTCCTCTGCGACGTCACTTCCTCCCCCGATGGGGTCGATGTCGGCAATTTCGCTGTCGGAGGAGCTCACTGGCTGTTGCAACGGGGACAGGGAGGGAGGAAGGGAGACGAATTACTGAAGTTTGGTGCATGCAGACTCGTTAACGTATCCCCAATCCGATCTCACGAAGGACGCAAGCGGGAAGGAGGCTGAAGGGGGCGGAGGTAAGAAGGAAAGCTAAGGCCACAGCAAGATGGGAAGTGGGGGAAGGGAACGAGTTGACCAAAAATCCAAATCTACATAGAGGGCTGACGCAGCATGATAGGGAACTCGTCAGATTTTTCACTAGGGAAGACACGAGTTCCGATTTCTCCTTGGCCAGGACAAATCCCATCTCTCCATGCAAGCTATGTCACGGGGTGGCTTTGTAGCAAAACGGGATACCCCTGCCCACACAACACACTCAGAGATCCTTGGAGAAGGACGGGCTGCGAATGTCATTCATCTGCCCCTCCTTCTATGTTGCATCTCTCCTGATTGACATGTACAGTAATTGGTGATTGCATCACCCCAGTAATGCTATATATGGTGGCCAGTATAGGAGCTTATACCAGAATTTGTACAGGATGGAGTGACATACATTCAACTCACGCAAGTTTGTGATACCAGGTTAGTAGGCCAATATTTTTTTGGGGGGGGGAAATTATATAAAAAATGAATTCCTTTTTGAAACATATAACTTTATGGAATTATTTCATTCCCTTTCATATTTAGAATTATTGGTGGACTTTAACTGGCTAAACTGGAGGCCCATCTTATAGAATAATAATAAACAAATACAGAAGGTAATTTTTATTTTTAGTATATAGTATTTTTCAATTAACAATAATGTATATAAGGGAAACTATAATGAATTTTTCTTTGCTTCCCTTTTCCCTCTTTTTCTGTTTGCAATCAGTATTTAGGAAACAACATCTGGCCTTCTCCTGTATATGTACATCTTATGTAAAAAAATTTTTGAATGTATGTCAAATTTGTAATTGGAATTGTGACCACTGAGGAAGGCCCTTGGAGGGGCCGAAACGCGTTTGGTTCAGTTGCACAGCACTAACCCGTCTATGTATGAATGTTGAGAAGTTTTTTATGTCTGAATGGTATATTTTTAATGAGTCTAAGTTTTAAAATGTGTACACCTGAATAAATTTTGCATTTTCATAATATTTAGAGTCAGCTTAACCCTTGTGGATCCATAGCTTCTTTCTTAGTCACAGGTAGGGATTTAGATATTGTCATTCATTTATTGTATTCACATCGCATCCTATCCCACGATGGGCTCGGGGGGGCTCACAACAAAAGTAAAAATGATAAATACATGATTAAAAACCAGTTAAATAAAACAAGATGGCAGCAAAGAAACACAACACCAGTCCAGAGCAGCCCAATATGCTTCCCGTCAAATGTTAGCAGGATGGCAGGCATCTGTAGGCCTACTATGGGCAGAAATAAAGAGATACTCAAAGCGCCGGAGTACAGCATGGTGCGATCCACATGCTCAAACCTCCTGAATGCAAGGCATGTGCCTCTATGTAGGAGGATATAATCTTGCCACTTAAAGACAGTCAGTTTTTGCTCACTGATGCGTGAAGCTGCCTTCTTGCCCAGCTGACCCGCCTCCGTGGCCCGAGATCCCTTAGAACAGGGGTCCTCGACCTTTTTGAGGCCTGTGGGCACTTTGGGAATTCTGACACAGGGGGGTGGGCGGAGCCACAAAATGGCTGCCGCAGGGGGGCGGAGCTAAGCCCAAGGGTAGGATTCAAGAGACGTTATTTTAACAAACAGACCGGGGGAGGGGGGGAGAGAGAATCAAAATCCACAGTGGCAGCGGCCACCAAAATGACGTTACTGTCATCTGCACGGCCCCCATCAGATCTGCAACGGCCAATCAGAAGCCCTGCTTGGCAGGAGCCCCACCCACTTCCTAAGAGCGCTTGGTGGGGTGCCAAGAAAGTGTCAGCAAGCCTCGTGGTGCCCGTGGGCGTCACGTGAGGGATCCCCCGTCTTGGAACACGAGGTATCATGAATCACTGTAGGGCCATCCATGTCCCGCCTCCCTCGTCCCGCCACTAGACACACGAAGATGACCAGTCGTCCTTTTAAAAGGTCCATCCTCTGCTCTCGCCGCTCACCGGAGGTGCGCTGTAGCTGGCGTGTGGGTTGTTCTGGATCTCCCAGAGTCCTTCGTTGAAGCCTTTCCGCTTGTTGGGCTTTCCGTACTTGTCCTTATATTTCTCGTAAGGGAAGAGGTCCTTCGGCCCCAAGAAGGCCCTGCGGGGACAGGAGGAAACGCATATGGTTCAAAGGTCAGCGCTGGAGAGGCAAACAGTGAAAAGGGGGGGCCCTCCCCTCCCTCCAGAGACCGGAACTCACGTCTCGTGGGTGCCGAAGAAGAAAATGGGGTATTTGTTGGGTGGAGGCTTCACGGCGCCGTCGATGATGTCATCGATCTGAAAACAAAAGGGTGAGGGGGGAATGGTTAAAGGCAAGCAGGAGAAGAGGGACTTCTAACCCGCCCATCGGCTGCTATTTTCCATTTGAAGAAGAGGAGGAGGAGACTGGATTTATATCCCGCCCTTCACTATGCAACGGAGTCTCAGAGTGGCTTACAAACTCCTTTCCCTTCCCCTCCCCACAAAAGACACCCTGTGAGCAATGCTCCCTCTAGGCTGTGGAGTCTGGTGAGCAAACATTCTACTTTGTGAGCTGCCGGCATTAAAGGTGTGAGCAGGTGATTTGGCTTCTGCATAAATCAGTTCACTCTGGAGCCGTCCTTCCTGAACTAAGACAAAAGTGTGTGAGCCTAGAGATATAAAATTTCCAGAAATTTTGAAGCTCAGAAAAAAATCAAGTTTTCTCCCCTTTTTTTCCCGAGAAAAAATGGAAGTTTTCGGAAAAATCGAAAAAATGCTACTTTAGCACTTCTTTTTTCTTTTCCAGATTGAAAGTCATTCTGTTATTTTAGGAACATAAAATATGACTATGGACATTTTTACTTGGCATGAAATTATCACAACTAGCCTATTAAAAATATAGTGTATCCAAACAATTATTACAAACAGAATACCCACCCACATGCAAAAACAAAACTGAACCCTTATTCTTTTCTTGTGGCAATAGCACCTCCTAAAGGAAGAAATGCATCTTGTTCTTGCATTGGAGAGTTCAGTTTGTAACCTAGGACTTGCTTGAGATCCATCTGATACCATACGTATTTTTTAGAAATGATTTGGAAAATATTTGAACACCTTGTCTTAAAATATTTTATTCATCATGTTAAAAGAAAACGTTCCATAATCAATTTTTTTCCTTTTCTTTTTTCAGTTTTTTTGGGAAAAAACAAAAAAGGCTTCAGGGAAAAAAAATGGAGGGGGGGGTACGTTTCCCCCCC